TTTTTTTCTTTTTTTGCAGCTGGGTTCAGATCTGCCGGTCAACCATCAGAGCCCCTCTGCCTTCATATCACGATGTGCCATGTGCAGCATCTTGTGGAAAGGACAGGGTAAAGGGCCGGCAGCGGTCCTCGCGGACGATTGTCATGTTCGGCCGGAGGACAATTCTTCTCTCGGTGGTTGCTTTCTTCCTCCTCGGTCTGGTTTACGGACGGCGTTTTACGGTATGCTTTGAGAACAGTCGTCTGCCTCGTACGAGGAATGACATCAATACCCCAGAACGGTTCTCGGTTAGTCGGGTGGAAGGGGGAGGCTCACCTCAATGGGTGGTGAACCGTCCCGAATAGATTTATGTTTATGATGACACCATGGCATGAATGAGATTATTGAAAAAGATTCAGGCACAATTGCTCATGTGACTGGACGGACAATGGCGTGATTGGGAGGGCTTTGACAAGGAACATGTTCATCAAGGTTTGCTGTCATACATTGACCGATAATGGTCGATCTTCGATTCATACATCGTCTCTATCTACTACAGCTTGGCCGCCGGCTTCAGGAGGGATAACCTGTCTTTGAGGGCAGCCTCGGCCTCCTTCTCTATTCTCGTGACGAGGACATCTACCGTGGGGATGTCGTGAATCAGGCCAATGACCTGTCCTGCCGTCCAGACCTGCGTTACATACATTTGTTAGCACTCTTTTTTCTGTCTCACGTGTTTTTCCCCCAGGGCATCAAGCCCAGAGGAACAGAGGGGGAAAGACTCACGCCGTAGTTGGGATCGCCGTTGACAAAGGCCTCCTTGCCGCGCTTGCCGCTCATGAGGGGAGCAATCTCCTCAAATTTGCCCGTGGTGCTTTCGCGCTCGACCTTGAGGGCCTCGAGGGCGACGTCGTTGCGGAAGAGGCGGGTCGTGTTGCGCCAGCGGCGCAGCAGGAGCTCCGTGTCGGTCTCCTGGGCCTTGACAATCTGCTCCTTGATGGAGTGGTGGATGGGGGCCTCGACGGTGCACATGAAGCGCGTGCCCATGTTGATGCCGGAGGCGCCGAGGCACAGGGCGGCGGCGAGGCCCTGGCCGTCGGCGAAGCCGCCCGAGGCGATGAAGGGGACCTTGAGGGACTGGCGGGCGCGGGAGAGGAGGATGAGGTTGGTGATGTCGGACTCGCCGACGTGGCCGGCGCACTCGAAGCCGTCGATGGAGAGAAAGTCGACGCCGAGCTTGACGGCCGACTGGGCGTGGCGGATCGAGGTGCACTTGTGGAGGACGGTGACGCCGGCGCGCTTGAGCTGCGTGATGACGGGGCCGGGGGAGTTGCCGGCCGTCTCGACGATAGTGACGCCCTCCTCGATGATGGCGCGGGCGTAGGCGGCGTAGTCGGGGGGCACGAGGGCCGGGAGAAGGGTCAGGTTGACGCCGAAGGGGTTCTTGGTCAGGGTGCGGCAGCGCTTGATCTCGGCGCGCAGAGCGTCGGGGGTCGGGAAGATGAGAGCCGTGATGATGCCTAGGGCACCGGCGTTCGAGACGGCAGATGCGAGGTCGGCGGTTCCCACGTGCTGCATGCCGCCCTGGACGATGGGGACTAGGGGTGCGAGCCAAGGTCAGTCTTTGGCGTGCCACACACAGCGACCAGGCAGTGGGAGAAGAGAGCTCGTGAGGGCACGCGTACCTTTGATCCCCAGGCGCCGGGTCAGCTCAGTGTCGAAAGGCATGGCGGACAGCGATTCTATGTGCAGATAGTTTGGTAGCAGAAATGACGCACGCGCTGTTGGTAACGAGGTTTCTGGTCGTGATGAAGGGCGGCGGCCAAGCAGACGTGATGTCTTGTCGCGGCCATTTGTCGTGGAGTTGAAGCTCGGTTTGGCAGACGTGACGAGACATGCCGAGGTCCTCGGGTCGATGCCCCACTGCGGGCACCTTCCCCCGTCCGGGGTACCGACTCACATGTTCGGCGAAGGAACACACTGGTAGGAGGCTGTGCTGATGGTGAAAGCCACAATCCATCCATCCACCTTCCAAGGTCACGAGACCTGGAATGCCTCTTCCCCTTGTTGCCATGAGCTCGTGACCATCCAAGCGACAACGAACAAACATACATCCATCCAGGTCGAGTCAGACATCAACTTCTCAGGCATGAGGAGGTGGCGCCACGACATGCTCCCACACGGAAGGACGACGGCGGCCAAGTGTGCATGCACACGCTGGCTCGACCCTCGCCCTTGACATCGGATGCACGACAGCTGGCACACAACAGGACGGCGAATAATTGACAGGTTGTGCCTTGCCTCACCTCACCATGCTTCGCGCTGGCCTGCCTCCCTACCCTTTGGCATGCCACCAGGCAGACAGGCAGACAGGCCAGCGGGCAGACAAGCATGCTGCGCGTCCACCTGCATCCTGCAGCGCCCATCGTTGTGAGGCGGCCATCAGGCCACTCCCGATCTGTGCGACCCTGTGTTGCGTGACTGGCATCCTGCGTCTCGGACGGCTTTCTTCTTCTTTCTCGCGACGGCAGGGCTTCCGTGTCGAGCCGCATCGCTTCCCAATGCACACCTCACCCGATTCGCTCGACTCAAGCAAGGCGTCCAAACCATGCGACGTGTGCGCTTGCAAACTGACGCGACAGCACATCCGGCCATGTCCATGACATGGCAGGACCCTTGAGTCCTTTGGGCCCCAACGCACTTTTGCTTCAGTGCAGACCAGAGGACGAAACGAAACCCCGCGGGTGTGTGTGCTACTCAGGAGCCGGCCGGCTGCCCCCAATTGGCCCCTCCCGGCATTCACGCGCTCTGACAGGCCTTTTTCTCTCTCGTCACACGCGGGAGGATTGCCGCAGCCGTAGCTTTCGATTCTGCATGGGACTGTGCAGATCAGTCGAATCTGATGAGCTGCCCTGCCAACCCCTAGCCGTCGCGTCAATGACACTCTGGGTGGACGAAGGCGGGGCGGAGAGGAGCCAAGCAGCGGCGCTGCATAAGGCCCATTGGCACGTCGGACGGGGATGCGGGTGCCCAACCCCGTGATCCAGAGAGGTCCAGACGCTGGTCCGCAAGCCGACCTCTTCTTGTCGCAGAAGGCGTGGCGGGCGGCGGACCAGCTAGCTATAGCCTCGTGACGGTTGTGAGACCGGGCTAGGAAAGGGAAAATAAATGGCCACAAAGCCTAAGACGGGTTTCGAGGCAATAGTCCCAAGTTGCGGTGTCATCGGCTGTCCTCCGCCTGCGTATTGGCCCGGCACCTTCGGCGAAGGACCATCTGAGACGCAAGGGTTCGCGTGACTTTTACGGCCGTGAACCGTGCCGTCGAGAACAAGGTGAATGTTTCCCCCCGACGATGAGACGGCGGTTGGCGCCTCGCTCACGTACCTACGGTGGACGGTCCGGAGATGCCAACATCTAGCCCTCGCCATAAGACGCCCGGGGAGGGGGGGGGGGTGCTGTCAAGATTCATGCTGTGACAAAGCGTCCATCGCTCCCGTCTGGAAGTACCTAGGTAGGCAGGCATCGACTGCGTGCCTCGGCTCCCATTAAACTTTAGGACCATCGACGGTGATTCTTTTTCAAGTGTGGGTAAGAATCCAAGAACATCGTCCATATCGAGATTCAGGTACGATGCCATATGTGAAGCGAGAACGAGTGCGGCAAGCGACCACAAGGCGATATCACTCGGCGGTATGAGCCAAATGACCTGATACAGATGCCCTGGTCCTTCCGTCGCCTGACAGATTTCACATTTGACAAGTATATCTCGTCAATCGCGCATCGTGGAACCCCCAAGGGAGGGCACACGAACGGGTACGAATATTTGACAGCCGGGTGCCAACATGCCGACGACCATCCACTCGCCATGTTGCAGTGTTGCATCAGAATATGCATGGGCACATCGCACAAAGGCATCGGCGATTTCGGGGCCTTTTCCTCCTCGTATTACCTTTTTTCTTCTTAATTTTTCTTTGGGCGTACGCTCGTGTTCCTTGCCATGGCATCTGCCTGACAACACCGCTGCGGTGGTATGTGTATGTACTAAGTACGACACGGCTCATGAAGCCCGTATCGTGTTGTACGCCACGCACAGGTCAGACGTCCTGTCCAGCTACGTTTTCCCGCGCGCTTACTCACAACGACCGCACCAAAGCAGCTGCGTCTCGTGGGGGGATGGGCATATGGACGTATGGCCTCACCAGCCAATCGACCACCCACCACCGAAGGCTGTCAACGGCAAGACGCTGGTCATGATGAGGTCAGCTCATGTGTCCTTGATGTCAGTAGCATGCCCATTCATGCCAGGCATCACATGAGCTTGCTTGATCGCGCAGTCCTCACCATTACGTATAGCGACTATTATTAGCCACTTCCGATATTAGGGATTCCGTTCATCAGCTTTGCTTCGCCCGGAAAACACCACCAAGAAGGGGCATGTGGGAATGAAGGGGTCCGCTCGACAAGGGTGAACAGGGGGTGAGGTAGGCCCGCGGGTTGTATCTCAACAGGCTGTTGACCGCTTCTTGATGCCGGGAGAATGCCAGAGAGAACAATACGTAGTGTTAGTTCAAAGACAGCGTGGCTTGGCCATGATCTGCCTGGGCTGTGGCCCGGAGACTCGGTAGCGGTGTTGGCCCGCAGCACCCTCCTGGTACTGCACCTAGTCTCCTCCCTAGCGAGAACGCAACTGTTGACGAGCGATGCGCTCAAAATTTTGATGAGCAACAAAGATTTCCGGACACTACCGAGACAGGGGTTCCATTTTTGGGGAGACTGGACATGGGCAGGGTTCCGGCAACCGCGGCAGCTGTCAAGGGGTCCGGGTCAGCCCATCAGATTTGGGATGGGGGGCTGATGGATAGATTATCATGGCTGGAATTTGGAGCAGAGAGGCGTGTCAAGCGAGCACGATAAAGTGAGCTCGGCGTTTGGGCAAGCGCGGGATGGATGCGTGCCCATGCAGGAATCCCCCCGCGCGTCTCTTGATAGTCGGGTGGGAGTTGAGTGGGAGTCGGTGGGGAGGAGCAGGGGCTCTAGGTCGTGTGGCGATCTTCGATGGCGGTGATCAAGACCTGAAGACGGCCATCTTCCAAGGTAACAGTAAAACGTAGGCTGTTCTTCGCGTGGCGTCTTGGGTGCTGATGGGGGTCGACCCATCCGAGAAGACGATCGACTACCTATCACCACCATGTTGAAGCCTGTGAGATTGTTTTCATAAAGCTTGCAGGCGAGAGTAGAAGAAAATTGAGCTTGAGACGATGAAGAGGCAAATCCTGGCCAGACCCCCATCCTCGAGGTCAAATAACCACAATCAAAGTCCTTCGAGATGTATGCTGTTCGTCATTTCAAACGAGGCGATCAGCTCACGAATTCTACCACGTTAATGCAGACACCTTCACATCCCTCACTAGGACTAGCGCCCTGGCTGCTCTAACGAGCAGGTGCCAGCCATTCTCCAGCACCGCCGTCATCGACAGGCGAGGCTTGTTCGTTTCGGAGCACCAGGTACACGCACATATTTATCAGTTGTTGGTAAGCCGGAAAGGGAACACCGGCATATAACTCCCAGATAGCCCATATTCCCTGCGCCATGCGTGCGTCGTCAGTGCCAATATAGGGCGGAATGATGGCCTGGCCTAAGTGAACCTCGCACATGGGCGGGCCATCTGTGCGCCCGTCCGAGTCATCACGAAAGATGAAGTGCTCAGGCCCTCTGTATGCTTTGTCCATATCGTCGTTGACGAAGACGAAGTCATGAGAGCGCAGCGTAGCATCCGTATATGCCTTTCTGCTTTGGCTTTTGCCAAGCGGCTCCGGATATCCCACTCATCCTCAATACCACGGCTTCACACTCTAGCCTCGAGGGCGTGAAGATTTAGGGTTCGATGATTGCGTAGCAGGTAAAAGGAAAGCTGGGATAGGCCTCTATCCGCTTGATGCCCTCTGATGGGATATCAAATACGGGCGCAGTTGCTTTGGAGAAGCTCTTGGATGCCTTGCTTCAGTACCGCTCGCCTACTACAGCGGTACATTCAACCGCTGGCAGCATTTTCTCTCGAACGGCATTCTGAGCCGCGTGGGCGGCCAATTGCGAGGGCGAAATGAAGTGACAGTTGCTCCATCGAACTCGTGGACGGGGCCGCCTCATTGCATCGGAGATGCAAAGTGCGAACCTGTCGTTATGTGCGTTTTGGCTTCAAGATTAGGGTGCCTATGCTCACACCGGCGGACGAGCCAGAGATGACGATGCGTTGCTCTGGCTGCATACCTGCATGTGGAGACCTGATGAAACGAAGAGAGACGGCCGTTGAGAGGCTGACTTCTACAGACTAGGCGACAAGCTGACCACGCATGGCACGACACAACCACGATACCGACAAGACATTGGTGACCGACGGTATGTTGAACTCGAGATGAGTTCATTATCGAGTAGTCCTGGTTGGGGGGTTGACAACAAAAGAAAATAAGTGACGTGGTGTCCAACAGTGGAGGGTTTTTAGATGCTGCGCCGCCTACCTGCCTAACTTTATGACATGTCGTCACTACCTGAGGTACCTACCTACCTACAGACCTAGGAACACTTGGGGAAGTTACATTTGGGGATCCCAAGATGCAACCCGTGAAAGCACGCAAACCAAAGGGGTTTTACCATGGGCACTGGGCAGGTAGGAAGGACATACATGGTAGTGCTTGCCTTGGTAGATGCCTGGCCAAAGGAAATCGATGAT